AAAGCACCAAGGACATTTCTTACTGAGCATACAAGGAACAATCTCATCTGTGAACTGCAGCTTGGCAGAATTGAAATTATTACTCTAACATGAGTTAACCCATCTGGAACTCTTACCATGAATGGCAACAGCGAAAATATTACCCAAATAATACCAAAATATTACAAAATAATACCAAAACTATTTCCAAAATATTACCCAAATAATTCCCAAATAATACCAAATAATTTACACAAATAATACCAAAAAAATTTCCAAATTATTACCCACATAATACCAAAACTATAACCAAAATATGACCCAAATACTACCAAAAATATTACCAAATAATAGCAAAACTATTACCAAAATATGACCCAAATAATACCAAAAATATTACCCAAATATTACCAAATAACACCAAAGCTATTTCCAAAATATTACTCAAATAATACCAAAACTATTTCCAAAATATTACCCAAATAATTCCCAAATAATACCAAAAAATTTACGCAAATAATACTAAAACTATTTCCAAAATATGACCCAAATAATACCAAAACTATTTCCAAAATATTACCCAAATAATTCCCAAATAATACCAAAAAATTTACGCAAATAATACCAAAACTATTTCCAAAATATGACCCAAATAATACCAAAACTATTTCCAAAATATTACCCAAACTACGACCCAAATAATACCAAAACTATTACCTAAACAATACCCAAATAATACAAAAAATATTTCCAAATTATTACCCACATATTACCAAAATGACTACCAAAATATGACCCAAATGATACCAAAAACTATTTCCAAAACGTTACCCAAATAATACCAAAACTATTTCCAAAATATTACCCAAACTATTACCAAAACATGACCCAAATAATACCAAAACTATTACCCGAATAATGCCCAAAATATTTCCAAAATATTGACCAAATAATACCAAAACTATTACCAAAATATTACTCAAATAATACCAAAACTATTAGCCAAATAATACCAAAAATATTTCCAAAATATTACCCAAACTATTACCAAATTATTACCCACATAATATCAAAACTATCACCAAAATATTTCCAAAATAATGCCAAAAATATTACCAAAATATTACCCAAATAATACCAAAACTATTACCAAAATATTACCCAAATAATATCAAAACCAATACCAAAACATTACTCAAATAATGCCAAAACTATTACCAAAACATTGCCCAAATAATACTCAAACTATTACCAAAATATTACCCAAATTATACCAAAACGATGACCAAAATATGACCCAAATAACACCAACAATATTTCCAAAATATGACCCAAATAATACCAGAAATATTAACAAAATATTACCCAATTAATACCAAAACATTACCAAAATATTACCCAATTAATACCAAAACTATTACCAAAATATTACCCAATTAATACCAAAACTATTACCAAAAGATTACTCAGATAATACCAAAAATATTTCCAAAATATTACCCAAATAATACAAAAAATATTACCAAAATATTACCCAAATAATACAAAATATTACCAAAATATTACTCAAATAATGGGTAACGTGAGCCTCTGACTATTCAAATCCTCCAATTCCCTTTTGCCGGCAGAGAAAGGCAAATGAAGAGCTCATTAACAATGATAAATTAAACCTGAGAGTTTTTATCAACTGAAATCTTCCCAGCCCCCAGTGCCCACCCAGTTTTGAGTTTTTAATTTAAATCCAACCCAAATTATCTGAGCTCTCAACCTGCCCTGAGTTTGACACCACAATTTCTTGTCTGCCAACAATGCAAATGCAACTGGGAAAAGAGAGGCACCTTGACATAAATTAAACATGAATTTTAAAGATTTTTAAAATTATTTTAATAATATAAATATTTTAAAGAAATTAATATTTATGTTATTCGTATTTTTTCCATCTGTACGCATAAATTAATTTTTAAAATCCAGCCATTCTCTCCTTCCCAGCGGCCAATTTAAATGCAAGCTGTTGGGTTTGCACGTGAGGGAAGCAAGCTCTGAAGGGATTCCTGCACAAATAATGTGAAAAAGAGAATTCCTGCACAAATAATCTGAAAAAAGAGAATTCCTGCACATTTTGGGCTCGGGGAAATTGAATTGATGAAAACTCACGTTTCTCATCATCAGCGTGGACCAGGGATGCTGCTCTGGACAGCACATCCAAGGGAGTCTCCATCCCTCTCTGGATCCTGCAAAATTCACAGCCAAGGTTCAGAGAGCACCCAGAGCACACACACAGAGATTACAGCAATGCACAACAGTGAAAAAAATCCAAAAATCCAAATTAGTGCTGCTCTTTTCTCCTTACAGGACTCACAGTGTCACTGCTGAAAATCAGCAAAATCAATGTTGGCATTGCCTTTCCCACCCAACGCAGCAGAACAGCAAATTCCCATCATTTTATTATCCTATTTATTAAAATTAATTCATCACTTATTATTTCTCATCTTATTTATATAAACATTATCTAAATACTACATAATATTTCTATATATAAATAGATAACCTTGGGTATGTGAGAAACCACAGAACTGGATTTTTCTTTTAGTCATAATAACACCTCAGTAGCTGCTTTTCCCTGGATTTTGCCCCTTAGAAATTCTAATTAAAAAAATGAATTCCCACCATGTTAAAAGCATTTATTCCAGCACTACACCAATAAAACTCCCATAAATCCAAGGATTGCATTGCAGCTCCTCAAAGTTTCACATGAAAGGCTTCAAAACGAAAAGAAAAGATGTTTCTGTATGAAATTCCCAAAATATGGATGAGAATAACATGTTGTCAAGATGGTTTTTACTACAAGGCCAACAACTCCTATGTGTTTCAAATAAAAAGGCAACAGCACAGGCAGAACTGTTTAAAAAATGGAGAAAGAGAAAAAACCCAGAACAACCAAATTTTATTGAGGTTTTTCCACGAAAACTTCCCTCATAAGAGCTGTTTACTGTAACTCACTTTACAGCATGATCTTAAAAAAATTTAAAAAATAAGGTAATTTTAAAATAATTTTAAAATTTAAATTATTTAATATTTAAATTAAATTTAAATATTTATTTTAAATAATTAAATTAAATTTAAATTATTTAATATTTAAATTTAAATTATTTTTAAATAAACTGCAGAAATGTCAAACACACGTCCAGCATGCACACGGCCTTAACAGCAAGCACATGTTTGGGAAGCAATTTCCTTGGCTTTGCACTAAAACAATAAACCCCACCATCCTCTCTCCCTCTTCCTAAACACTCAGACTTTAACCAAAGATTTTAAAGCACAAGAGAAAGGATTTTGAAGCATTTATAAGTTGAAAAAAAATGTATTTTTAAGGTTAAAGTTTGTATTTTTAAGTTTAAATAATGAAATCCAGCAGGATTTCCATAGGGCAAAGTAAGAAGAAGAGATAAATTTGAAATAACCAAGTGTATTGAGCATTAAAAAAATGTTTCTCCTTCCCTGCCAGAATCAGCTTTTGCTCAAGAATATAAGTTCAGTTAAAATAAAGTCAATTAACTCTTTAAATTAAAGACAATACCTGCAGGGAAGATGTTTTAGAACACAAGATCTTAGATTATTTTACTGTTTTGTCTTCATCAACCATTTCTTCTTTTCCCACCTGGCCTCATCCTCCTCCAAAGCAAAGCAGGGATTTGGGAGAGGGAATTCCCTGAATCCCCTCAGCACCATCCACCTGCATCCCTCCCATCTGATGCTCCATTTCTTTCAGATTTTCTGTTTTCTTGTTTTCTTCTGTTTTCTTCACTGACCCCCTCACAAAAACTCCTCTAATTCAGTTAAAATCCAGTTGGAAAAATGATTTTGATTTTTTTGATCAGGGGATGCAGCTACACCAGAATCAAATAACTCAGGATTCAGCGCTAAATTCATCCTACACTTCAAAAAGACAATAATATTGATATTTTTGGTCAAGTCTTTAGGGGGAAAAAAAAATCAACTCTTTATAAACACCAATGTAAAGGATAGTATGAGGTTGTATTAAAAACAAATTGATTACATTAAGTTCAAAAATTCTTAACTACATGAAGAAAATTGATGTAGTTATGACTACATTAAGAAATTTAACTACATCAATTTTCTTAATGTACTTAACAAATTTTTTTGTACATTTTTAAATACAGTTTCAATTTTTAATTTTTTTTTTCTTTCAGCTTTCCAGTAATTTTTAAATAATGGGAATAGCAGATGCCCAAAGCCTTCCCAGCCTGTGCTCCCAGTAAGAATGAACTGGTGACAGAAACCCACAGTGGGAGAAGGAAACAGGAACCGAGCCTTGGTGCAGTTCAGGAAATTGGACCCTTCAAAAAACAACTGGAATAAAAGTGGCCTCAACAGAGCTTTGCAGCTTTGTGTATTATTAAATTCTATTATTAAATTCTATTATTAAATTCTATTATTAAATTCTTCACATCACAGGAGAGCTGCTGAGGCATCAGGGCCTTGTGTTCATTCAAAAACTGCAATTCCCAGGCTGGAATCCCAGAT